CTCCAGTATCTTCCCAAATATAGAAGTTAAACTAACAGGTCTATAGTTACTTGGTAAAGACTTTGATCCTTTTTAAATATAGGCACCACAATGGCCTTACGCCAATACAGTAGTACCATGCCAGTCATTCAAAAGTTCCTAAAAATTTTAAACAATGCAATACAAGTCTATAAAGCTCCTTTGCTTATCAGCTCCCCCTACTGGTTGGAAGCAGACAGTGTTACCAGGTCTAGCATGTCAGTGCATTGAAGGCATAGAGAGCAGCTGCAGCCCAGTGTCTAACTCTATCAAGCAAAGCACCAGGCTACAACAACACCTGCAAGGAAAGTGACACTTTTATTTAATTATTGATTTATTAATCTTTAACCTCTATTGTTGAACTGTAACAAAAGTAACAAGACGGGGGGGGGGTTATAATATAGCATTTTATTAAAATACAAGAGGTTGGTGCTATCCCAATACAGTACCTTCCCAATGTGTCACTTCTGGTTTCGGCCGGCGGTGCATTCCACACTGGCTTCCAGCATCTAGCATATCCAGCCACTTCCTGTAATCTCTGTGTGGCCTGGTAACAGTCTCCTGCTGAACTCTGCACACTCCAGAGAAAGTCTCAAAGGATTTTCTGGCTGTACTGGCATGCTTCCCTGACAAACTCAGTCACAGATAGGGCATTGTCCTGTGTAAGTGCATTTTCTGCTGGAGTACTAAGTAGCAGTTTAACTAAAGCAGCAAGAAGATACAACAAAGAACTTTATTGCACTATGGATGGACTGCAAGCAAAACACCCTGGGAAACATCTCCTACAAGTCTGATTCCCACTCCATGTACCTTTTAATATGCCCTTCTACGCCTCCTTTTCATTTTAGTATCCTCTGTTCTCAAAATCTCATTTGTTTAACCCTCTGCTCCACCCCAAAGCGTATACACATCATCCTCACTTCTACCATCTCCCTACTACTGTTTTCATCACCTCCTGCTAATACTTAACCCACCTGCTGACCCAAACACCAAAACAGGAAGGCATGTGCACTCATTTACATCCCACTCCCATCTTACATTCCTCACCCTCCTTCTTCTAACCTCTGGGGATATCTCTCCGAACCTTGGTCCTCCAGTATCTTACCCCCACACCAGGCATCCTCGTACCTGCAGGAATAGCCGCAATCCACTCAATTTAATCTCAATCCCCCTGCTTCTAAAAACCACCCTCCCTTTTTCATGTGCACTCTGGAATGCCTGCTCTGTCTGTAACAAGCTCACCTCTGTCCATGACCTTTTTGTCTCCCATTACCTTAACCTACTAGCAATTACAAAAACCTGGCTTCAAGCAGCAGATTCTGCTTCTCCCCCAGCACTTTGCCATGGAGGAGTCCACTGGACTTACTCACTCAGATCCAGTGGTCGGAAAGGAGGTGGAGTTGGTTTGCTTCTATCTCCACTTAACACCTTTAAAGTCCTCCCTACCCCTCCCTCTCTCTCCTTCTCTTCTTTCAAGACTCACTGTATTCGGCTGTTTTCTCCCATTTCTCTGAGGATTGCAGAGATTTATCGGTCTCCTGGAATGGTGTCGCACTTCCTTGATGACTTCTCTGCCTGGCTACCCTACTTTCTCTCCTCTGAAATACCCACTATCATTCTTGGTGATTTTAACATCCCCTTTAATGTTAACAACCCAGCTACATTCCAACTCTTCAATCTAACCTCATATTTTGCCCCCTAACACAATGGACACAGTCCTCCACTCACTCTGATGGGAATACCCTAGGCCTTGTTTTTTCCCATCTTTGCACTCCTTACAACCTCACCAACACCCCTTTTCCTCTCTCTGATCACAATCTCATCACCTTCCCAGTGTCCTCATCTTCAAACACCTATCCCTCCCATCAGAAAACAATTACCCACAGAAACCTTCTCAACTTTAATCCTTCTCTTTTCTACTCTACAACTGACCACCTCTATGATAGTCTCTTTCCCCTGTCCTGCCCTGACCTGGCCACTTCTGCCTACAGCAGTTCGCTTTCATCCACACTGGACTCACTTGCTCCTCTAACTACATGAAGTATCTGGCCTCAACCATTACAACCTTGGCAGACGAACGACACCAGAAATCTTAAGAGACATAACCGTGCACTGCAGCAATTGTGGCATAAAACTGTGGCATAAAACCAAATATCAGCAAGCATTCACCCTGTATAAATCTGCTTTCTTAAAATGCAATTCCTCTCCCCATGTTGCCAAACAAGCCTACTTTGTCACTCTTATTAATACCTTGTCATCCAGTCCTCGTCATCTCTTCTCTAATTTTAACTCTCTACTTTCTCCACCGCCACCTCCATCTAGTAACTCACTCACTGCTTATCCAATTGCCAATCAAGAAGATTCAAAACAAGATTGATGCAATTCATGAGGGCATCTCACTACACAGACATCTATCCCACTTACAATACCTTATACTAAACCTCCCTCAACACTTTTCTCTTTTGACCTTGCTACTGAAGAGGTGACTAAAGTTTTCTCAGAAGCCTGTCTTACCACCTGCCCCCTGGATCCTGTTCCCTCACAACTACTACAGTCACCCTCTTCTTCTGTCCTATGCTCCCTCACTCACATCTTCAATCTCTCCCTCTCTACTGGCACCTTCTCCCCCCCCTCTAAAGCATGCACAGATCACTCTCATACTTAAAAAGCCCTCATTGGACCCCACCAACCTGAACAACTTAAGACCCATCTCCCTGTTCCTGTTTACCTCTAAACTCTTAGAATGCCTAGTCTACACTTGCCTGAGCTACTACCTCACTGACAACAACCTTCTTGACCCTTTACAGTCTGGCTTTCGCTCACTACACTCCACTGAAACTGCTCTACTAAAAATCACTAATGATTTACTAACTGATAAAATCAATGGCCACATTCTCTTACTACTTAACTTTTCCGCAGCTTTTGATAATGTTGACCATCCCTTCCTCCTCAAAAAACTCCACTCTCTTGGCCTCTGAGACTCTGCTCTCTCCTGGTTCTCCTCCTACCTATCGCAGCGTTCCTTCAGTGTTACCTATACTTCTGTCTCCTCCTCTCCACTTGCTCTTTCTGTAGGGGTTCCTCAAGGTTCTGTCCTTAGACCCCTTCTCTTCTCCATCTACATCTCCTCCTTTGGTCATCTGATAAACTACTATAGCTTCAAGTAACATGTCTGTGCTGATGACACACAAATCTATCTTTCTACTCCTCACCTCACCCCTTCAGTCTTCTCTTCTAACCTACTAACTGACATATCAGCATGGATGTCACACCACTTCCTCAAACTCAATCTTTCTAAAACTGAGCTCATAATATTCAGCTCCAGCCCATGCCCCTTCCCTGACTTCTCCATCAAGATCAATATTACAACCATCAGTCCCTCCCCTCATGCCAGGGTACTATGTGTAATCCTGGACTCCCATCTGTCTTTTCAGCCCCAAATCCAATCACTTTCCAAATCTTGTAGACTTCAAATCCATAACATCTCCAAGATATGCCTGTTTTTAACCACCGAAACCACTAAGCAACTTATTCACTCCCTTGTTATCTCTTGCTTTGACAATTGTAACTCCCTCCTCATTGGCCTACCTACCCCTCTTCAGTCTATCATGAATGCTGCTGCTCATCCACCTTACCAACCATTCCATGTCTGCCATCCCTCTCTGCCAATCCTCCAAATAACACCCAAATATCACCCAAACCGTCCTCTCCGCTCCTCCCACGACCTCCTGCTTTCTAGCTCCCTTGTCTTCTTCTCTCCCATGCTCCAGGACTTCTCCAGAGCCTCCCCAATCCTCTGGAACTCTCTACACCAATCTATCCAACTATAAGCTCCAAGGACCAGGGCCTTCCTAACCCTCTTGTATTGAACTTTATCACTGCTGTATTGTCTGCCTTTATATTTTAAAGCGCTGAGCAAACTTTTGGTGCTATATACATGCTGTATAATAATAATAATAATAACTGCAGACACCAGCAATACCATTGATGTGCCCATATATCATGTTCACCAAGTGAATGTATTACCTTTTTAACCTCTTATGTGTTAATAAAATGCTACAGTTAGATGGTAGCACCCTGTCTTGGTAGTTTTATTTATTAACTTTTATCTGTCTTCATTTCCCAATTATGCCTTTTGTTTTAGATACATTCGGTTCTAGAGTTTCTAGCATTTAATTTTTTTCTAAGGATTATACTTAACATAATGTTATAAGTTTCTCCTGATGTTTTTAGTTCATCACTCATCGATTTTCTTCCTTCCAGTATCAGTTCCTGCTCCCCCAACCCTTGAACTCTACAGGGTCTGTTCAGATCTGTAGCAAGTTCAATGTTATACTCCTCCACTCATGCCCATTTTTTGCACCGCAGTTTCATAGCTCTTGAAGCTCCTGCATGCGCACTGTGCCCCCTTTGGAACACAGATTTACCAGTTTTAAAAGCCACCATACTGGAAACCTGAAGTTGTTAACCCATATACAGCTGGAAATTCAGTAGCAGAAATATGATAGGGCAGCCTGCACGTCATCGGAAATACTCCACTACAGGTATGTAATGTGACTAAAGCTGCAGAGAATGTTATTTTAGCTAAACTGCTTAAAAGAAAAAGAGTCCTGACAACACGTAGTTATTCCACTAGATGCCACTATAGCACCATCCTAATGGATAATATGTTCTTTAACTCCAGAAGTACTTTAGTCCCCCTTATGCAGGCATTTTTTTTACAGGGTATGCATTAAATTACCCCATACTGCATTATCTACTACAGGTATTTAACCACCTTTCACCCGTCATATAGTACAATGACGGGCGCAAGGTGGTTCTCTCATTCTGATAGGACGTCATATGACGTCCTTCCATTCTCACCGCTCATGCGCGGCTCAGGGAGCGTGCAGTGCGGCGATCACCGGTGCGCTGTGTCCCTCGGACACAGCGGATCACGGAAAGAACCGAAGATGTCAGCTCGGTCATGTGATCAGCTGTGTCCAATCACAGCTGATCACATGTAAACATGGAAATGCCGGTTATCGGCATTTCTCTCCTCTCGAGCTGTCACGCTGACAGCTCAAAAGGAGAGGAGAACCAGTATTCGGCTTTCGACGGAGGGGACATGTACACTGATCATCAGGACACTGATGATCAGTGTGCCCTGATGATCAGTGTGGCCCCAGAAGTGCCACCTGTCAGTGCCCATCAGTGCCACATCAACGCCACATATCAGTGCATACCAGTGCACAACAATGCCACATATCAGTGCCCATCTGAGAGTGCCTTTTAATGTCACCCATCAGTGCCAGTCAGTGCCACCTATCAATGCCAATCAGTGCCACCTATCAGTGCTGCCAATCAGTGCCACCTATCAATGCCAGTCAGTGTCGACTATCAGTGCGCATCAGTGCCAGTCAGTGCCGCCTATCAGTGCCAGTCAGTGCCGCCTAACAGTGCCAGTGAGTGCCGCCTATCAGTGCCAGTCAGTGCTACCTATCAGTGCCGCCTATCAGTGCCATATATCAGTGTCATTTATCAGTGCTGCCTTTCAGTGCCCATCAGTGATGCCTGTCAATGCCCATCAGTGCAACCTACCAGTGCCTCCTCATCAGTGCCCATCAGTGCCACCTATCAATGTCCATCAGTGCAGCCTATCAATGCCCATCACTGCAGCCTCATTAGCGCACATCAGTGAAGGAGAAAAATCACTTATTTACAAAATTGTATAACAAAAACTAAGATAAAAAAAAAAAATTTCAAAATTTTCAGTGGTTTTTGGTTTGTTTAAGAAAAAATTAAAATCCCAGAGGTAATTAAATACCACTAAAAGAAGGTTCTATCTGTCTCAAAAAAATGATAAAAATTTCATACGGGTACAGTATTGCATGACCGCGCAATTGTCATTCAAAGTGTGACAGCGCTGAAAGCTGGAAATTGGCCTGGGCAGGAAGGGGGTATAAGTGCCCTGTAGGCTAGTGGTTAAAGAGTAGCTGCATGTTTGTTGAAAAAAAAAACATTCCCCTCTGGGTGATATATGTACATTGCAAGGATTTTAACAAACTTGATTGCAAATTCTTACATTTTGCTATTCTGAAATAATAGCTGTTTGTGCCTACGTGCAGAATTAATCTGTATGGGAGTGATTTTGTTAGGCCTGCAACTAACGATTATTTTCATAACACAGGTCTGCGACTAAAAAGCTGTTTGATTATTTTCATCTAATTTCCATGTATTTTGGTGTGCTGAAAACAAATAAAATATTGAAAAAACTAGACGTCATGATTTGCCACAAAATGCATAATTGTCTTCAAATTTATCAAATTTTTTTAATTTTTGGTATTTTTTTTATATTATCGGTTTTTAACCAAATTTAAAGTCCAAATTACTATTAATTAATTCACATAAGTGCATTTAAGATATAAAATGCCAAAAAAAACTTAAAGAGGTTGTCTGAGTTATGTAAAAAAAAATATAGCACTGTAAATCTGATGGTCAGCAATATATACATAAGCTAAGCAAGTTTTAGGGAAAAAGAAAATTTTATTTCCTCATTTCCCTAGTTCTCTTCTGGCCCATTGTTGTTATTTGCAGGTAAACAATCTCTGCCCCTCCCCCCCGCAAAGGGGGTGAATACAAGTGCTGCTCTGAGTGACATGTCTGACTACTATCGATGTCGAAGGTCTGATGGGTCAATTTAAAATGCAATATGATTCAGAGCAATGGCGTCTTTTTATAGATTCTTCAAAAAGAAGTCTCAAAGCAGTTTTACTCCACAACAGTGTTTTTTTACGCTTCCATACCTGTAGGTCATTTCGTACACTTGAAAGTAACCTACGAGAACTTGGAATTGGTTCTTCGTAAACTTAAATATGAAGACCATGGTTGGCAAGTGTGTGGGGACTTGAAGGTTTTGTGCACGCTGCTCGGGCAACAAGCTGGGTATACCAAATATCCTTGTTTTCTGTGTCTATGGGACAGTCGAGACCGACAAAATCACTGGACCAAGAAGAGTTGGCAGCCGAGGGTGCTAACAGTCGGTGAAAAAAATGTCCTCCGAGAAACTTTGGTACCTTCCCATAAAGTTCTTCTACCACCTCTCCACATAAAATTGGGATTGATGAAGCAATTTGTAAAATCACTTTCAAGAGATGGAGAATGCTTCAAATACTTGGTCACCAAGTTTCCAGGCCTGTCGGAGGCAAAATTGAAGGAAGGTGTGTTCGTCGGACCAGACATTAGAAGGCTTATAGATGATCAAGAGTTTGTCAATACCATGACGGATCCTCAAAAAGAAGGGTGGATTGCATTTAAAGAAGTTTTTAGGCAATAACAAAGATCCTCACTACAAAAAGATCGTCGGACGAATGCTGAAAGCATTTCAAGCTTTAGGTTGCCTGATGAGTTTGAAAGTGCATTTCCTCCAGTTCCACCTTGACTACTTTCCTGAAAATTTGGGAGCTGTGAGTGAGGAACAAGGTTAACGATTCCAGCAAGACATTAAAGAGATGGAAAGGAGATACCAGGGAAAATGTAGCATTACAATGATGGCAGACTACTGTTGGATGCTTCAGAGAGACATTCCAGATGCTACTCACAAGCGTAAATGCACCAAGAGGAGCCTCACAGGTAAGAAGAATTGAGTTTAGTGTGTGTAGGTGAGCTCATTTCTGTTCAAAAAAGGATTTTCATGAAAAAATTGTAATAAAACCTTAATTTTATAAGTCTATTTCCATTTATTTTGAGGTATTGCCTTATTTAACATAGTTACCTAAATTGTCAGGAAACGTGATGTCCTATGACAAAATGGAGGTCATTTTCGGATTCAGCGCACCAAAAAACATAAAGATTATGTCAAATAACCAAAACAGCTCTTGAAAAAAATGTTTTTGCAGACCATGTGTAATCGATTAGTAGGCCAATTATTGTTTTCATTAATCAGATAAAAGCCTCAAAAAAATTGTGGTGTATAATTTTGTTATTATGTAAAGTTTAAAAAAGACAATCTATTCTTGAATATCTATATGCAGTGGTAAATATACACAATCAGATACAGTTGCAAGAAAAAGTATGTGAACCCCTTGGGATTACATTGAGTTTTGCATGAATTGGGCATAAAATGTGCTCTGAACATCATCTAAGTCACAATAATAGAAGAACACAGTCTGCTGAACATAATACTACACAAACATTAGATGTTGCCATGGTTTAATTGCACATAACATGTAAACATTCACAGTGCAGGGAGGAAAAAGTATGTGAGGCCCTAGCTTAATGACTTCTCCCAGAGCTAATTGGAGCCAGGAGTGAGCCAACCTTGACTCCAATCAGTGTGATGATATTGGATGTGTTGCTGACAGCTGTCCTGCCCTTAAAAAACACACACCTGTTTTGGGTTTACTGGTTTCAAGAAGCACTGTCTGATGTGAGCCATGCCTCGCAGAAAAGAGCTCTCAGAAGACCTACAATCAAGAATTGTTGACTTGCATGAAGCTGGAAAGGGTTACAAAAGTATCTCCAAAAGCCTTGATGTTCATGTGTCCACGGTAAGACAGACTGTCTACAAATGGAGAAAGTTTAGCACTGATGCTGCCTCCCTAGGCGTGGTCGTTCTGTACAAATGACTGCAAGAGCACAGTGCAGAATGCTGCATGAGGTAAAGAAGAATCCCAGAGTGTCAGCTAAAGACCTACAGAAATCTCTGGCACATGCTAACATTTTTGTTGACACATCTACAATAAGGAAAACATTAAATAAGAATGGAGTACATGGGAGGACACCACGGAGGAAGCCATTGCTGTCCAAAAAGAATATTGCAGCACGTTTGAAGTTTGCAAAAGAGCACTTGGATGTTCCACAACACTACTGGCAAAATATACTGTGGACAGATAAAACCAAGATTGAGTTGTTTGGAAAGAACACACAACACTATGTGTGGAGAAAAAAAGGCACAGCACACACACATCAAAACCTCATCCCCACTGTAAAAAACATGGTGGAGGGAGCATCATGGTTTAGGGCTGCTTTGCTGCCTCAGGGCCTGAACGGATTGTTGTCATTGATGGGAAAATGAATTCCAGAGTTTATCAAGACATTTTGCAGGAAAACATGTGACCATCTGTCCGCCAACTGAAGCTCCGCAGAGGATGGGTGATGCAACAGGACAATGACCCAAAGCATACAAGTAATACAACAAAACAATGGCTGCAACAACACAGAATACGCCTTCTGGAGTGGCCCAGTCAGAGTCCTGACCTCAACCCGATTGAAATGCTGTGGCAATGACCATAAGAGAGCGATTCACACCAGACATCCCAAGAATATTGCTACACTGAAACAGTTTTGTGAAGAGGAGTGGTCCAAAATTACTCCAGATCGTTGTGCAGGTCTGATCTGCAACTACAGGAAATGTTTGGTTGAGGTTATTGCTGCCAAAGGAGGGTCAACCAGTTATTAAGTCCAAAGGTTCACATACTTTTTCCTCCCTGCACTGTGAATGTTTACATGTTATGTGCAATTAAACCATGGCAACATCTAATGTTTGTGTAGTATTATGTTCAGCAGACTGTGTTCTTCTATTGTTGTGACTTAGATGACGTTCAGAGCACATTTTATGCCCAATTCATGCAAAACTCCACGTAATCCCAAGGGGTCCACATACTTTTTCTTGCAACTGTATATGGTTAGGAACAAAATATCTAATCCACTCTGAGGATGACAGACAGAAGAGATCTATACACTGTTAGAGGTTGAATATGGTACATATCATCAGACTCAGGAATCAAAATTTTTATTTAAAGAAATTTTTTTTTAAATACTTAAAACGCTGTTTTGCGATACAAGCTATCTACGCCTGCTATCACTAGGACATTTAGCAGCAACAGCATGCTTTTTGTATCACCTATCATGATGGGGTTAAAAAAAATTAGCCCTTTATAGTACAAAAAACAGCAGATAATCACTGCTATAAGGGGTTAATTTATACTGTGAAACAGTGAAAGTAATACTATATATACTGTATACAGGTATCGCATTTGGAGAGTTGCAATAACGTGATGGCAAGTGTCTCCCAGGCACCACATCAGAGGGAGGGGTGGCTGCACCAATAAAGAATACGGGAGGGAAACATTAAGAATGTCCACCGCTTAAGCAGCGGCGACCGCTGTTGACAGTTCCCCCCTCTCTCCCCGCTCTGAAGCTGCAGCAGTAGGGCAGGAGAATAATCGGCTGTCAGCCCGCTTTACTAGTTGGGCTTCTCAGCGGAGAAAGGTTGCAGAGTTGCTATTGGCTATATTTAACATTTTTAAAGTGCGAGACCTGAAGGAGGCGCGAGGCACCTGGAGGCTTCATGTGCATAGTACATGGACACAACATCGTTGCACCCCCCCCCCCCCCCAACTACCACCACCAGGACAGGAAGAGGGCACCTGAATCTGATGAAGCTGCTGACCTTTGTACTGTGCATCACAGGCATGAAAGGAAGCTCTGCTTTGTTTTGCCTTAATGCCATACTTTCACTAAGAGAAAGTATGATTGTATGAAAAAAATGCTCTTATTATTTTGTTTCCCTATTGATGTAAAGCACTTGTTTTCCTTTTATGTTTACATTGTGTGACAGGAGGAGACTGTCAATGTGAGAAGATAGGAAAATGTGACACAGGATTCACATATAGGGTGAATATGCATTGTTCCAGACTAGTGTTTCTGGGCAGAGAAAGCTGTGGACTTGGCTTCCTCTGGATTCTGCAGATCTGTATTAGAACACCCAATCCTGTGTCTGGGTTTTGCTAGACACCTGCAACCTCGCTGAGTACACATCTGTGAATTGTTGTTATACAGTATACTCATGTCTGAGTATCACCCAGGGTTCCCAGTTGGAAACCACTTGCAGCGGGGGAGATGGAAGGTCTCATCGAGGGGTCAGAGGACCAAGCCAGGAGACAAAGGGTCCCAGTTCCAGGAGTCAGGTCGGCTCCTATCGGGGGTTTCAGGAGAACCCCATCCATAGGCCAGAGGTTAGCCTTACAGCAGGTGCTGTGACTAAAGGCTAGAGAGCCAGGGGTACAAAAGAGGTACTGCAATTGAAGCTGAGGGAGCTTATGAGCCAGGTGGCTCTGCATTTTCCAGTGTTTGTCTTTTTTCTGAAGCTGAAAAAGATCCCTTGCATGGGAAGTCATTTGTGTGTGAACTTTATTTTCTTTTAAATAAAAGTGGGCAACCAAGCCTAGTTTATAATATATATATATATATATATATATATATATATATATATATATATATATATATATATATATTTACACACACACAAGTACACTGCTCAAAAAAAATAAGGGAATACTTTCAATATAGAGTATAGCATCGAGTCTATTAAACTCTTGGGATATTGATCTGGTCAGCTAAGTAGCAGAGGGGGTTGTTAATCAGTTTCAGCTGCTTTGGTGTTAATGAAATTAACAACAGATGCACTAGATGGGAAACAAAGAGACAACCCCCAAAACAGGAATGGTTTTACAGGTGGAGGCCACTGACATGTTTTCCCTACTCATCTTTCCTGACTCTTTTTTACGAGTTTTGCATTTGGCTAGGGTCAGTGGCACTACTGATAGCATGAGGCGATACCTGGACCATACAGAGGTTGCACAGGCAGTCCAACTCCTCCAGGATGGCACATTATGTCTCAAGAGCATGGAGGAGATTCCAGGAGACAGGCAGTTACTCTAGGAGAGCTGGACAGGGCCGTAGAAGGTCCTTAACCCATCAGCAGGACCAATATCTGCTCCAAGGAGGAGCAGGATGAGCACTGCCAGAGCCCTACAAAATGACTTCCAGCAGGTCACTGGTGTGAATGTCTCTGACCAAACAATCAGAAACAGATTTCAACATCCACTATTGGGCCCTGTGCCCACTGCCCAGCACCATAGAGCTCGATTGGCATTTGCCATTGAACACCAGAATTGGCTAGTCCGCCACTGGCACCCTGTGCTTTTCATAGATGAGAGCAGGTTCATCCTGAGCACATTGACAGACGTGAAGGGTTCTGGAGAAGCCGTGGAGAACGTTATGCTGCCTGAAACATCATTCAGCATGACCGTTTTGGTGGTGGGTAAGTGATGGTCTGGCGAGGCATATCCATGGAGGAACGCACAGACCTCTACAGGCTAGACAATGGCACCCTGATTGCCAATAGGTATTGGGATGAAATCCTTGGACCCATTGTCAGACCCTACACTGGTGCAGTGGGTCCTGGATTCCTCCTGGTGCACGACAATGCCCAGACTCATGTGACGAGAGTATGCAGGCAGTTCCTGGAGGATGAAGAACTTGATACCATTGAATGGCCCCCACACTTACCTGAGCTAAATCCAATAGAACACCTCTGGGATATCATGATTCGCTCCACCCGATGCCAGCAGGTTGCACCTCAGACTGCCCAGGAGCTCAGTGGTCCAGATCTGGGAGGAAATACCCCAGGACACCATGGGGTTTATTTACTAAAGCTGGAGAGTCCAAAATCAGACTCCCTTCTGCATAGAAACCAATCAGCTTCTAACCTCAGTTTGTTCAATGAAGCTTTGGCAATGAAACCTGGAAGCTGATTGGTTTCTATGCAGAAGTGAGTCTGATTTTGCACTCTCCAGCTTTAGTAAATAAACTCCCATCTGTCATCTCATTAGGAGCATGCCCTGACGTTGTTCCATTTTGAGTTCCTGCAATGAAATTTCAGCAAAATCGACTAGGCTGCTGCTTAATTTTTTCATTTTGATTTTTGGTTTGTCTTTGAATTCAGTCCTCTATAGGTTGATAATTCTCATTTCCATCAAACGATGGGGCATCCTTATGTTCATAACTAGAGATGAGCGAATTATTCAAAAATTCGATTCGACTGATTCGGCGAATTCGTGAAAAAATTTTGATTCGAGTCGAATATATTCGCTGCGAATTTAACTTATAAAAGGGTGTTTCTAGGCTTCATAGAGCCTTTATATTAGTGCAGAACACTGTACCTTTAATTTAAATGCCCTTGGAGTCTGCTGGGGAAGAGAAATAATACTGACAGTCAGTATGACATGCAGATGAGTGCCGTCGATCTTAGAATCACCGCACACTTCACTCATTTGGGCAGTCACGGGGCCAAAACCAGAGTGTGGAGCCACAGTGTGGCGGTGGAGGCAGCAGCAATGGGAGGCCATACAGCACCCTATGACAAAAATGGAAACCACCAGCAGTGTGAGGAGACCTGAAAGTGGCACATGGCAGAGTGTGGCGATGGAGACAGCAGCAATGGGAGGCCGTACAGGGACTCATGACACACTCTGGACCTGGCAGCAGCATGAGGAGGCGGTACAGGGGCCCATGACAGATTACGGGCCTGGCAGCAGCATGAGGAGTTGGTACGGGGGCCCATGGCAGATTACGGGCCTGGCAGCAGCAATGGGAGGCCGTACAGGGACCCATGACACACTCTGGACCTGGCAGCAGCATGAGGAGGCGGTACAGGGGCCCATGACAGATTACGGGCCTGGCAGCAGCATGAGGAGTCGGTACGGGGGCCCATGACACACTCTGGACCTGGCAGCAGCATGAGGAGGCGGTACAGGGGCGCATGACAGATTACGAGCCTGGCAGCAGCAACTTGGACAGGAGGACGTTCAGCTTCTGCACCGTCGGGTGCGTGCTCGCAAACTGTTGTCTCTTGGAAACGGATTCCAAGAAAGACTGCTGACGGAATCCGTGAAGAGGAGTAGCAGGAGAAGGAGCATCTGAACGAGCGGAATATGCCAACAAGCGACAACAGGGGCCCATGACAGATTACGGGCCTGGCAGCAGCATGAGGAGTCGGTACGGGGGCCCATGGCAGATTACGGGCCTAGCAGCAGCAATGGGAGGCCCGTAATCTGCCAGCACCCTATGACAAAAAATGGAACACACCAGCAGTGTGTGAGGAGACCTGAAAGTGGCACATGGCAGAGTGTGGCGATGGAAACAGCAGCAATGGGAGGCCGTACAGGGACCCATGAGAGACTCTGGACCTGGCAGCAGCATGAGGAGGCGGTACAGGGGCCCATGGCAGATTAGGGGCCTGGCAGCAGCTATGGGAGGCCCGTAATCTGCCAGCACCCTATGACAAAAAATGGAACCCACCAGCAGTGTGAGGAGACCTGAAAGTGGCACATGGCAGAGTGTGGCGATGGAGACAGCAGCAATGGGAGGCCGTACAGGGACCCATGAGAGACTGTGGACCTGGCAGCAGCATGAGGAGGCGGTACTGGGGCCCATGGCAGATTACGGGCCTCGCAGCAGCAATGGGAGGCCCGTAATCTGCCAGCACCCTATGACAAAAAATGTAACACACCAGCAGTGTGAGGAGACCTGAAAGTGGCACATGGCAGAGTGTGGCGATGGAGACAGCAGCAATGGGAGGCGGTTCAGGGACCCATGAGACACTGTGGACCTGGCAGCAGCAGCATGAGGAGGCGGTACAGGGGCCCATGGCAGATTAAGGCCTGGCAGCAGCAATGGGAGGCCCGTAATCTGCCAGCACCCTATGACAAAATGGAACCCTGGGCTGGGGTAGGCAGAACCGCCGTATCTTTATCACGGTTTTCCCAGGCCACCGAATGGCGACACTGCATATGCTGACGCAACGCTGTAGTCCCAACATGGGCCCCCTGGCCACGCTTGACATTCTGGCCACATAGTCGACATACGGCTACGTTTACTTCCTCGGGCGGCTTGACGAAAAATTGCCACACCGCCGAGTAGGAAACTTTGCCCCCGCTACTCCTCACTGGCTGACTGCTACTTCCTCCGTGCACACCGGCACCACTACTGGCCGTGGTGGTAGGCTGCAGTGGAGCTGGTGCTCTACTCCATGGCCGTTTGCCTCCACTGACACTGCTGCGACCCTGCTGCCTCCTGGCAGCAGCAATGGGAGGCCGTACAGGGACCCATGACACACTCTGGACCTGGCAGCAGCATGAAGAGGCGGTACAGGGGCCCATGGCAGATTAGGGGCCTGGCAGCAGCAATGGGAGGCCCGTAATCTGCCAGCACCCTATGACAAAAAATGGAACACACCAGCAGTGTGAGGAGACCTGAAAGTGGCACATGGCATGAGACACTGTGGACCTGGCAGCAGCATGAGGAGGCGGTACAGGGGCCCATGGCAGATTAGGGGCCTGGCAGCAGCTATGGGAGGCCCGTAATCTGCCAGCACCCTATGACAAAAAATGGAACACACCAGCAGTGTGAGGAGACCTGAAAGTGGCACATGGCATGAGACACTGTGGACCTGGCAGCAGCATGAAGAGGCGGTACAGGGGCCCATGGCAGATTAGGGGCCTGGCAGCAGCTATGGGAGGCCCGTAATCTGCCAGCACCCTATGACAAAAAATGGAACACACCAGCAGTGTGTGAGGAGACCTGAAAGTGGCACATGGCAGAGTGTGGCGATGGAGACAGCAGCAATGGGAGGCCGTACAGGGACCCATGAGAGACTCTGGACCTGGCAGCAGCATGAGGAGGAGGCGGTATAGGGGCCCATGGCAGATTAGGGGCCTAGCAGCAGCTATAGGAGGCCCGTAATCTGCCAGCACCCTATGACAAAAAAATGGAACACACCAGCAGTGTGAGGAGACCTGAAAGTGGTACATGGCATGAGACACTGTGGACCTGGCAGCAGCATGAGGAGGCGGTACAGGGGCCCATGGCAGATTAGGGGCCTGGCAGCAGCTATGGGAGGCCCGTAATCTGCCAGCACCCTATGACAAAAAATGGAACACACCAGCAGTGCGAGGAGACCTGAAAGTGGCACATGGCAGAGTGTGGCGATGGAGACAGCAGCAATGGGAGGCCGTACAGGGACCCATGAGAGACTCTGCACCTGGCAGCAGCATGAGGAGGCGGTATAGGGGCCCATGGCAGATTAGGGGCCTGGCAGCAGCTATGGGAGGCCCGTAATCTGCCAGCACCCTATGACAAAAATGGAACAAACCAGCAGTGTGAGGAGACCTGAAAGTGGCACATGGCAGAGTGTGGCGATGGAGACAGCAGCAATGGGAGGCCGTACAGGGACCCATGAGAGACTCTGGACCTGGCAGCAGCATGAGGAGGCGGTATAGGGGCCCATGGCAGATTAGGGGCCTGGCAGCAGCTATAGGAGGCCCGTAATCTGCCAGCACCCTATGAAAAAAAATGGAACACACCAGCAGTGTGAGGAGACCTGAAAGTGGCACATGGCATGAGACACTGTGGACCTGGCAGCAGCATGAGGAGGCGGTACAGGGGCCCATGGCAGATTAGGGACCTGGCAGCAGCTATGGGAGGCCCGTAATCTGCCAGCCCCCTATGACAAAAAATGGAACACACCAGCAGTGTGAGGAGACCTGAAAGTGGCACATGGCAGAGTGTGGCGATGGAGACAGCAGCAATGGGAGGCCGTACAGGGACCCATGAGAGACTCTGCACCTGGCAGCAGCATGAGGAGGCGGTATAGGGGCCCATGGCAGATTAGGGGCCTGGCAGCAGCTATGGGAGGCCCGTAATCTGCCAGCACCCTATGACAAAAAATGGAACACACAGCAGTGTGAGGAGACCTGAAAGTGGCACATGTTTGGGGCATGATTCATGGCGGATTTAGTCAGTTGTGTCAGGAACTGGTGGTTTGAAATCAGACTAATCCACGCCTGATTCATTTTCACAAACGTGAGTCTCTCCACACTTTGGGTGGACAGTCGTGTCCTCCGCGGAGTTACAATACCTCCTGCCGCACTAAACACGCGCTCCGATGCCACGCTACTGGCCGGGCATGACAGCCTTTCAAGGGCAAATTCAGCTAGTTGGGGCCAAAGGTCAAGTTTCGTTGCCCAGTAGTCAAGGGGATTGTCTACCTCGGTTGGCAGGGTGCTGTCCAAGTAGGCCCAAGCCTGTTGTTTGAGGTCCTGCTCCAGGTCCACCTGATGCTGCTGCTGCTGCTGCTGCTGCGGCTGGTTAGTAGTTTCCTCACTGCCCGCTGGTGAAGAAAGCTACTCATCATCGACTGCAGACTGAGGCAGCCGCTGCTGGTGGAGCTGCCACTGCTCCTACCACCCCACCCCTCCCCTGCTGCCATGGCAGCGGAACGCGAGCGCACAGGGCCCACAGTGTCTGAGGATGGACGTTGGCGCAGAAAGGCAGAGACCAACTGACTACATAGGTGGTTTTTATAGTACGTTATTTTGGCCTCCCTCTCAGCAGGTGTGAAAAAGGCCACCATTTTGAACGGTAGCGAGGGTCCAACAAGGTGGACAGCCAAAAAGTCATCCCTCTGTCTGATGGTTATTATTCGGCTGTCGCTACGCAAAGCAACCGAGCATGCTATGGGCCATTTGTGCCAAGGAATGCGAGGGACTCCCTGCCTCCATCTCCACAGCATACTGCCACGGTGCGTCTGGGTCCTCTGTCTCCTCCTCCTCTACCAGATGCTCCTGCTCCTCCACTCCTGTCCGCTGAGTGGAAAAACCACCCATTTCACTCAATAATTCCTGAGCACAAATGTCCTCCTCTCTACCTCCTCCTCTTCTTCCTGTCCTGCCCCCACAGGGGTCATGTGGCGTTGAGATCTGTGCGCCACGTCTACCGCACCCTGACCAGCCATTGTTAACAGCATTTGTTCCAGGACGTGCAACAGAGGAATGACGTCGTTCATCCCATAGTCCTGCCGACTCACGAATAGCGTGGCCTCCTCAAAGGGCCTGAGCAAGCGGCAGTGTCACGCATGAGCTGCCAATGGCTGACATCGAAGTTACACAGGGGAGTACCTTTATCCGCTTGTAACATCAGGAAATCGGTGATGGCCTTTCGCTGTTCGTAAAGGCGGTCTAACATGTGTAGGGTTGAATTCCACCTTGTTGCAACGTCGCAGATCAGGCGATGCTGTGGAATTCCGTTCTGCCGCTGCAGCTCAAGGAGGGTGTGCTTTGCGGTGTAGGAATGGCTGAAATGCATGCAAAGTTTACGTGACATTTTAAGGATGTCTTGCAGTGGGATGGTGGATTTTAGGAACTGCTTGACAACCAGATTGAACACGTGAGCCATGCATGGCGCATGGCACAACCTTCCTTGACGCAGAGCAGACACCATGTTCTTTCCGTTGTCGGTCAACATGGTTCCGATTTTCAGTTTGCGCGGAGACAGCCATCTGTCGATTTCTCTGTTCATTACACTGAGAAGTTCCTCCCCTGTGTGACTACGTTCGCCAAGGCATACCAGGTGCAGCACAGCGTGACACCGTTGCGCCCTGCACATGTGATATGCCGGTCGGGTAATGGGACTTGGCACGGGGGTGGCGGCTGAGGACACGGCGGAAGAAGAGGTGGTAGAGGCGGACATCTTTGCCGGACCAAGGACGTGCAAACGTGGAGGCAAAAGCGGCGCGACCTGTCCAAGTTGCTGGTGCGGCTGTGACGGCACCACGTTCACCCAGTGGGCCGTAAATGACATGTACTGTCCCTGACCGTAGTTACAGCTCCACACGTCGGCGCTGCCGTGCACTTTGGCAGAGACCGACATGCTCAAAGACTGGCCCACCATCTCTTCTACATGTGAATGCAGGGCTGGCACTGCCTTTTTGGCGAAGAAATGACGGCTTGGCACTCTCCACCGCGGCGCGGCACAAGCCATCATTTCTCGGAAAGGTGCTGAGTCCACCACTTGGAAAGGGAGGGACTGCAGCACCAGCAACTTGGACAGGAGGACGTTCAGCTTTTGCACCGTCGGGTGCGTGCTCGCAAACTGTTGTCTCTTGGAAACGGATTCCAAGAAAGACTGCTGACGGAATCCGTGAAGAGGAGTAGCAGGAGAAGGAGCATCAGAACGAGCGGAAGATGCCAACGAGCGACAACTCCCCTCAGCAGAGGTGTTGGAGCCTTGACTGGCTGATAGAGGGCGATTGACGTCGGGTGACGGAGCAAGTAACGGAGCGGGTGATGGAGCGGGGGCTGGGGCGGGCAGAACCGCCGTATCTTTATCACGGTTTTCCCAGGCCACCAAATGGCGACACTGCATATGCTGCCGCAACGCTGTAGTCCCAACATGGGCCCCCTGGCCACGCTTGACTTTCTGGCCACATAGTCGACATACGGCTACGTTTACTTCCTCGGGCGGCTTGACAAAAAATTGCCACACCACCGAGTAGGAAACTTTGCCCCCGATACTCCTCACTGGCTGACTGCTGCTTCCTCCGTGCACACCGGCACCACTACTGGCCGTGGTGGTAGGCTGCAGTGGAGCTGGTGCTCTACTCCGTGGCCGTTTTGCCTCCACTGACACTGCTGCGACCCTGCTGCCTCCTGGGCAACCCACCGACTGTTTTGCTTGCTGCCAAGCTGCCACCCTCTTCTCCTGATGATGCGGAAGCAATAGCCTGATGACGACGAGGCTGCCAAGTGCGATCAGCCTCATCATCATCAATTAGGGTCTCCGCCTCACTACTAGCCCCCTCGGCTGCGTGTGGGTCAGGAGACAGACCTGTCTCTAGACCGGCTACCGAGCCACTCTCCTCGCCACTACTTCTTCGCCTGGCTGCTGAAGAGGGCGGATGTCTCCCCCCGTTCCTGACCGCCCTCTGTTAGCTCTTCCTCACTGTACAGTGGGGCTGAGCCCACAGCATACGATACTTCGCTTGGTGAGGGAACACCAAAGGACAGGGGCAGGTCGAGGACACGTGATTTCAGTGTGGCTTGCTCCCGGGCCATGCCAACTAACGGTTGTGTCTGACGTACCCACCGACCGTTGGCTGTAGGTGTCAGAGGTGACCTGGGAAGAGGAAGACGACCGAGCCAACCAATTGATGACGGCAGGGTTGTCGGTGGAGACACGACCGCTGGATGACACCGGGAGCACTGGCCTCTGGCTGCGACTAGTGCTGCCTCGACCCCTTCCTCTGCTGCCACGTCTGCTCGCTCCTAAAACATTGCCTCCTCTGCCACTCCTATGCATGTTGTCTGACATACTCTTTAATTAAACGATTCTGTGTCCCTGAGTAACAATTCTGTGTCTGTCCCTGAGTAACAATTCTGTGTCCCTGAGTAACAATTCTGTGTCCCTCAGTAACAATTCTGTGTCCCTCAGTAACAATTCTGTGTCCCTCAGTAACAATTCTGTGTCCCTGAGTAACAATTCTGTGTCCCCCTCAGTAACAATTCTGTGTCTGTCCCTAAGTAACAATTCTGTGTCTGTCGCTGAGTAACAATTCTGTGTCCCTCAGTAACAATTCTGTGTCTGTCCCTGAGTAACAATTCTGTGTCTGTCCCTGAGTAACAATTCTGTGTCCCTCAGTAACAATTCTGTGTCCCTCAGTAACAATTCTGTGTCCCTCAGTAACAGTTCTGTGTCCCTGAGTAACAATTCTGTGTCCCTGAGTAACAATTCTGTGTCCCTCAGTAACAATTCTGTGTCCCTCAGTAACAATTCTGTGTCTGTCCCTGAGTAACAATTCTGTGTCTGTCGCTGAGTAACAATTCTGTGTCCCTCAGTAACAAT